AGTGTAGATATGTTTACACTTCCAAATCCAGACAACAGCACTAAAAACCACAAGTGATGGAAGGACTTATTTCCAGGTTTCCCCAGACTAACGGAACTAAACAGACTAATGGAGACAAGACAAGCGTTAGGTCTCCCAGCAAAGCTGGTTGATGCTTAGGTAACATATACCAATTCCACGCCTGGTTAACTCCTGGTACATGGATTGGGCAGAGCTGAGGCCTCACACGGGCCGACAGAAGGCATCCACAGGGCCACAGGGGGCAGCAGCTTTGCAGCTTCTCCTGGGGGCGAGGACCACGAGGCATGGGGCCAGAAGGAGCACTGGTGTTGAAGTCAGAGACCTGTTTCTAGTATCAGCACTGCCCAAGGTAGTTATGCAGAACTAGTCAGATAAGGGAGGTGTGAATACTTCGTAAAACTAAAGTGTTATGGAAATTTAAAGAGGGGTTACTCTCAGTAATATACAAGATGTCTGTGCTCTATTTGGGATACAAATTAAACAGTTTCTGCAAACTGTTACCGTGCTCTCTCTCTTAAAATCAAGGCAGAGAAGTTCACATGCCAAGTTTTAAGATGTATAGTGGATGCTGGAAGGACAGATCTTTACTCACTAGTAGGCTAAAACTGGTTTTATACAAACATTAATTAGAAAATCTTTATCCTCCTGCATAACTCTAAATATTGATAGCAAATCACCTTCAGAAGTTGCTTAGTGTCTTTCTAATTCCAGAAGCTTTAGCATTAAGGATGTTGTCCATTCTTTTAAGTCCCTTAGTGATTCTTAGAGATCATCTTCTGCTAATATCTCTATTATGTAAAACAAGTCGTGCTAACTTCAAAACATCTGTTCCCTTAGACAAAACCCATGTTTTAAAAATTCCTTCCAGGCTATTCTGAACAAAGAATCTTGACAGGTGGTACCTGGTCCAGGGGTTAGGAATAAGAACTTTAAATATTCTTGAGAATAATGAAAGTAAACTCAAGAAAGGGGTTTGGAAACAGGCATCCACAAAGGTAGATTAATATACAGTACCAGAAAAGGGATATGAGGCGGGGGAGGAGAGCAATCAGGAGACCACCTGATCCACCTCAACAAGACCAGCAGCGAAATGACCAGTCACTCCATACACACCTCCTCTGTTTCTGCAATGACCAGACTCACCTTCACTTCTCACAACACTTATAAAGGTTCTGAGAAATCCTGCCTGTTTCCCAGACATGGAAAGAACTTGAATTCTGGATTTTACACAATCCACTGGGTATACAGCAAGCCAGAGGCAGATTCCACCAATGCCGCCACTTACCATCAAAGAGACAGGGCCTAGAAAAGAAAATTAGCAAACAGTATTTTGTCTCAAGAACAGCTGATATGACAATTCCAGAGGCCAACAGTAGTGGCCACAGGTAGGTACAAATAAAAATGCTGCAGAACACAATTCCCTGAGGAGACTGTCAAAGCTCTAACAGAAAAAGGTTCCATTTGGTGGTCTGGGTCTACCCCTCATCAAGCCAGGACAAGAAGCCCTAGTGAGGGTCGTGTTTCGGCTGGTCATTGTGGCACTGTGGCCCTCCTGCCCCATCCTCCAGAGGGCTGGCCCCCACAACCAGCAGGCCCTAGCAGCATGGCAACACCCTACCATGAGGAATGAGAATAGTTAGGCCAGTGAAATGCAGGCCGAGTCATTTTTCAACTTTCTCTTAAGCATTTTAATGTTTTAATGCCCCACAGCCCTGATTCTTCCTTTACCATGAAAAACCAAAGTTGTCTTATTAATAGGACAGTTAAGCCTGGGAGTGTGACTAACCCCAGAATAGGTCCACCAACACTGAAGGGAGGTGCTTAAGAAAAAAGTAATCACTCTGTGAGCCAAACGTTGGTACGGTTGCGGCCAGCAGCTACAGAGGATAAGCCAGAAAGAACTACACTTTTCACTGCTCTCAAAACACTTTCAAGGTTTATTACCAAGTTTTAAGCTTACTGCAAGCTGAGTTATAGGTGATTTCCTCATTTACTGGTGATTTCCTATAGGGAAAGAAATTTCTATATTTCTTCTTCCCTAAAACAGATCCAGAGGAAATTCACAAATATTACTCCAGGAAAGAAGTTTGGGATGAACTGCTTCAGCCCCTGTCCTGAGGAAATTGCAAGCCCAGAGGAAGGTGCTAGAAATTGTTAGGCCATGTTATTCTCTGGGATCCAGAAACTCCCCAGTGCCAGGTGGACCCCCACAAGGGGGCGCAGAGTGCACAGAATCTGCAGCAAGCCCACCATCGGAAGCGGACACCATCACCCCACCTGCTGTCCTTGCAAATACATTTACCTAGGTCATCTTTTGATCTCCCGGATGCAAAAAACGATCGGCTCAGTTCATAGCCGCCGAAGAAGAAGAAATAGCCGGGTACTTCTCGAAGTAAAGTGCTCGAGAGTCCATGGTAGAAGCCCAAGGGGCCATCCTTTCTAAGGATGCTCTTCATGACAGACCACACTGTACTGGGAGGAGACAGAGAGAGAGAGACAGTCACGGCAGGTGAAGCAGCAGGGAAGCAGCTAGTTCTGTAGACAGAGAACCAGAGTTCTAAAAGGCTGCTGTGGCAGGAAATCTCA